TTGGCCAGAAGTCTGGTCTTTTCTTTCTTCCTGCAAAATGTAGATAAATTTCAATAATGAATCAGACATGTTATTTTTTCTGCCTTTGCTACTTTCTGCTGCAACAAGTTATGTCTGTGGATTCCATTGAGCCAAACAGGAGCATCGACTTGATTTGTTGCATATGTTTGTGAATACATGTTTCTGGATTGTTTACTGTGAAAAATATTTATTAGAAAGATTATGAACTGAGTTAAAATGTTGGTCAATAGGACCATGGTGTTAAAGACTGGTAAATCTTTGATTTTGGGTTGCCTCTCTGAGTTCAAAGTCTATGGGTAAAAAAGATGGGCTGTTGGTTCTGGTGGACTTATCTTTTAAGTTCCTGGTAAGACCAGTATTTTCACTCTTTTCTTGGAAACTCTGCAGGAGGGTTACCTTGTTTATGAGTGCAATCGCAGGTGCAGCTGCAATAAAAGCTGTCCAAATAGGGTTTTGCAGAATGGAGTATGCGTGAAATTGGAAGTCTTTAAAACTGAGAACAAGGTAATGCTTTGAATTTTTCATTATTTTCTTTTAGCATTAACTGATCTCCGTGTTTATTTTTAGGGTTGGGCAGTTAGGGCGGGAGAAGCAATTCTTCGAGGTACATTTGTATGTGAGTACATTGGGGAGGTTTTAGATGAGCAGGAGGCAGACAAGAGGCGCATCAGGTTTGCTTTCTTGCAAAATACAGTTCCTTTTTTGTGCTTTATGTTAGCCTTTTATGCTATATAATAAATAGCTAAGTTGGATGCTCAGGTATGGCGCAGAAGGTTGCGGTTATATGTTCAATGTTGACGCTCAAATCAATGATATGGGCAGATTGATTGAAGAACAGGCTCAATATGTCATTGATGCCTCTAAGTACGGAAATGTTTCAAGATTCATCAATCATAGGTGAGGAAAGAGTTAGTGGGTTTTGTTACCTGAAGTTATTAGAAAGTAATTTGTCTCTGCTCTGGCTTATAAAGAGTGGGGTCTTAGCATCAACAGCTTTTCTGAAAGTGCTTCTTTGAAAAGCCTTAAATTTGAAGAAAGATGTGTTAACATTCAAGGGATATATTAGCCTAGACAGAGTAAATAATGAAACATGTGTGGCTAAGTGGTCGGATTAGGCTTTGCTGATTGCAGTTATGGTTTACTTTGCTTATGGATGGTAAATCAGTAGATTTGCTGCTGACACTTATTCTTTTCTTCTGTAGCTGCTTGCCAAATCTTGTGAATCACCAAATTCTCGTGGACAGCATGGATTATCAGCGTGCACACATTGGTCTCTATGCAAGTCGAGATGTAAGCATTCCAATTGCTTGTAAATTATATGGATAACATGTTGTACACTTGAATATTTTGAGGCGCAGATTTCTTTCCCCGTAATGTTTTATGCGTTTAAGATCATTGATTTTTTTTAACTGTAATACATGATTTGTTGCTGGAAAATATGGAGCTTTTAACTCATGGCCTGGGCAAGATATTATAGGAGTTTCATTCTTTTCCTTTTGTGATAGTTATTATGTTGCCCGTAATTTTTCCTTGAATATATCACCTAGTATTTGTGACTTCAAAGAAACTATAGTTGTCCAAATTATGTGCTTTGTTTAAACTTCTGACATTTTTGTAAGCAGATTGCCATTGGTGAAGAACTGACATACGACTATCACTATAAACTACTTGCTGGGGAAGGATGTCCATGCCAATGCGGAACTTCGAAGTGCCGGGGACGGCTTTACTAAATCTTTAACTGACACCAAGTGTTGTCTCTCCAGCTCATGGATAGAAGTCAGTAGGAGACTAACTGGGGAATTGAAAGATCCAAGTCTTGTTGCAGAAGAGCTGCTTATAGTTGCATTGTCAAGTTGGTCACTTTTTCATGAAGGAACCTGATCATGGAGGTTTTTTTATTTTTTTGGTTTTTCCTCAAGTAGATTGTAAATCATGCTCTCTAGTTGTAGATGCATTTGGAAGATATGATGATGAAAACTCAATTCTTTATTTAGTGAATTGTTTTAGTTATGCTCCAAGTTCTTAGCTACTCCTGTTATGAGGTTAGCCAAAGGTTTAAGAAAAGTTGGTCTTCTAATTCATGATTGGCCAATGTGTGTGTGTGTGTGTGTGACAGAATTTCTTAAGAAATGGTAACCAAACATTTAAACGAAGGAAAATGTTACGGTCTACAAGTGAGAACAACACATTTTACAAACATTTTTTAATGAAAGGTTGTTCCATTTTTTATACAAATCAAAGATTGGTCATGAAAGAGGAATCTTTAGATTTTGTTGAGAAGAAAGTCAAAAGATATTCGACAAACCTCTCCTTTTGTGGTCGGATGGAAAACCTTTTACTTATTAGAGTTAGTTATACTTAGAGGGTTTTGTGTATGAGTTGTTGGAAAGGTATTTATTACATTTGTGCAATTATCTTGGTCTATTAGATTTGTAAGGTGTTTTATAACTTTGAGAATTTAACAGACTTTAATGTTGGTTTTGATACTTAGATTAAAAAAAAAAAAAAAAGGGCTCTTTCTAAAGAAAAGAAAAGCCCATTTCTATTATTACCCAAAAACATTAATATGTTGTTACTAGAAAGATCAAGGACAAAGAATATAGAGGTATGTATACATTCAAATGTAATTGAAAATTGTTTGCTTATATTTGTATTGTTGAGAGGTGCAGAAATTGAAATCTGATCAATAAACTGCAGAGAAAGCAACTTAACATTTGAGATAAAGTCGAACAAGGCACATGCGTTGTGCATAATACAAGTTCATGTGAGCCAAAACATGGTACAGTTGCCTATTGTTATGTAACTGTCTCTTTGTTTCCAGAAATTGGGGCAGTGTTTTTTATTCATCATCCAGGAAGCATGTATCTCTCAAAATACGTTAGTACGTAACCAACACAAATCATTTGGGTTAATTAATTAGACATAAAAAAATATTAAAGAATTCACCAAACCCGTCTATAGATTTGAATGAGTCAAAGAAATTATGTTTTGATAAAAAGGTAAGTCATTAATGAAGGAAGAAAAATATACACTCCATTAAAAGCTACTTCAAAATTAGTTGAAATGAGGTGGGTGTGGCGTTGTATGTTAAGTTAATATCAAAGGAAACCTACCAAGTCCTACTGCAAAACCCTAAAAATCTTTCTGTAGATGTGAGCCAACATAAAATCCTTGTTTTCCATACTCTGTAATTAGAGATTATTTCTTTGAGTTAGAGATTTGACAAAAGGATTATAAGTTTTTTAATCAATAAATGAAGTAGCGAAAATTCCTTAAAATCTGCCAGCCGACTGCCAAGATTCCTAAGAATAAAAGAGGAGTAAACAACTTTTTCCACCCAAGGTTTGTCTTCATGACTTTCTACCCAAAAAGTTTCTAAACACCACTTTCTCACACAAAGTTAATATCCCGTTACTATCTAAAGCTAATTCCAACGGCTAAAATTCTCCTTATCACTACCATTTGAACTTTATGTCTCCTCTCTACAAAACCTCTCTGACTCTGATACCTGATTTATCTCCAATTATCGGTCACCGCAAAGTTAGGGTTCATGTTTTTAACTAATTTCTAACTAATTTTGACGACGAATATTCAATCAGTCATTATCATTCAATCTATCGACCTTCACTCTACAAAGCCTTTCTTACCATAGCTCTTGGTAACTCACCAAACGTCGACTAAAAAAGTGAAGTGATTAACAGAATATAAACTTTGGGTAGGAAATTGATATTTTGAACCTTTTTTTGAGTGGGAAAGTGTTTACTCAATAAAAGAAATTGAAAGGTTTAAACCCTAATGTAGCACATGCAAGAGCACCAATTAGGATTAGTGATAATGAATGGCACACGATAGCACATGAGTAGTAATAGAAAAGTGGGCCAAGATTCCAGCAAGGCCATCTTGATAATGATATTGGCTTTATTTTTTTGGGACCAATTTATGATGAAAACATGTTTCACTTTTTTCTAGTTACCATCATTTCATTTCTTGGTATCTAGTGTCTGCCTCTATTATTGCCATTGCACTCACCCATTCAATTTCCAAGTCAAAAGCATTTTTAAATTTTTTTGCTTTGCCCATTTATGTTCCCTCCCTCTTTGTTAATTTCTGTCACTTTGATGTCCATTTTGTCTTCCCTTTTTATAAAGCAATAAAGAGGAAATTTTAATGGCAAATTGTTTTGTTAATGGACCCATAGATAATTTTGATTAAGATTTGAGTTAGATAGGCAAATCCTCCATTGATGGATGGTTTCAATAATTCAGGTAGTTGGGTATTCAATTCTAGTTTATTATACATATAAATGCTTGTGGGTATTAACGTTAGAGAAGTCAGTCGTAGGATTAACCATCATTGAGTAGTTGAACGATCAACTAAGATTCTTGGATGTATTACTTAAGAGATCTTGTGTTCGATCCATCTCAACTCTTAATTGATGGTGGTTACTGGACCTTGATAAAGGTTGGTCATTGGAGGCTTATCCAGTGGGTCGTAGGATTAACTTCCAACCCTACAGTAATCACTCAAATGAGCTGGTTAGGCATAATGCTAATGGCCATGGCTTCAACTTCACTACTCATCACCCCCAATACTAGATTCTCTCTAAATAAACAACTATACAAATTAATTGAATAACCCAAATAACTTCATATACACTCTTTGTTTTCCGGTACTATCCCCCTAAATCATATGCAAAATCCAACGGAGGTAGAATATTATGATGGCATTTAAGTCATTGCAGGAGACTGGTCAATGTTTGGTCATGATAACGACGGTGGTGAGTTTGCCTAGAAAATCCAGCGACGGGCTACAAAAGCAACAAACACATAAAAGTCTCCAAGAAAATTTTTATTAAAAGAATCAAAAAAAAATATATAACAGATAGATATAAAACAAAGTTCAAAATTTTAAAAGACAAAGCGTGCAATTTGCTGAGGCAAAGTCATGCAAGAACTCAGACCCACATAGGCTTACAATCATCAAAACCATTGAGACATACACAGTGTAAAGTTAAAGAACACTAACACTAATTCTATCTCATTTGTTTTAAGTGTTAGTTGTTTTCTTTACAAATTAAACACACACTTTACTCATTATAACTCTCCTGCAAACTACGTTGGTTCCCTTGATGCTTGACACCAGACCTCTCCTTCAATCATTTTAGCCACTCCAGCTCCTTCAAAATACCAGACAGCAATTGGGTTCTCTGTGACGTCTCTCTACACTCTGTTTTTTTCTTTTATTTTCTGGTGAGTTTTTCTTTTTGGTGGTTTTGGGGTTTCAAGATTCTCTTTCTTCGCTATCAAAAAAAACACCAATTTCATTCGTGTTGTGATTTGTACTTTTTTTTTTTTTTTTTGTACTGGTTTCTGTCGAGCATTTGATCCATGTTCAGATATGGAGGAATTTTGACAATAGTTTGATTGCTATTTTCGGACTATAATTTTTATTTATATTTCTCTCTTGGATGAAACTATTTCTATTTGGAATGTCTTAAGTCTTACTTTGCTGGTTTTCAAGTATCAGATCACCTAGAATTCCAGTTTTTTCTATTCCCTGCTTTGAAATTTTTATTTAAAATATTTTAGCTACTTTTGATTATATTTCAAGGGATCTCCAAGCTTGTTTTTAGTAAATGCCATATCTTGATCGAATTTTTTATTAAATTCTTGTTAAGTATGGCTGAAATTAGACTTCCAAGGGTAGAACAAGGTCAAACCAAGATTAGAAATGTTCCAATTGCTGTGACACCTGAAGGTTTTTGGTGTTGCCCATCTCCTGTTGTGTTTCAAAAGACCGTTAAAGCACAAAATCCCGGAAACAAACCCAAATCCTCCTCACCTCCTCCTAAAACTACTGCCCAAAAGAAACAAACCCAAGCCCCGGTGATTGAGAAAAGACCAATATCCACTCCATTAAGACCAGGGGTTACTTCTGATAATCCGCGAACTCTTAGCTCCGATACACCTGGTATTAGTGCATCAAATGCTGTTTCTGAGAGAACTCCAAGACCTAAGATAGAACATTTGCCTAGGAAAGTGGCAATTGAGTTCGGTGAACCTGGAACCAGCAATTTGAAGGTGGTTTTATTTGGAAAGCAAGGCTTTTGCGTGAAGCTGAGTGTGCACAGGAACGTTCTTGTGGAAAATAGCAGTTTTTTCTCTGATAAGCTTTCCGGAGAACTATCAGGTCTGCCTTGTCTTGAGATTGATGACTGTGAGGATGTTGAAGTTTATGTTGAAACTTTGGGACTAATGTATTGCAAAGACATGAAGCAAAGGCTAATCAAGCAAAGTGTGTCGCGTGTTCTTCGTATCCTGAAGGTAATCTGCAGACTTACGCCATCTTATTCATATCTGGGTTGGCTGCATCATTTTTATGTTGTATGTATTGTTTGGTTGGTGTTTATGATTTATCTCAACCCTATGAAACTTTTACCGTAGTAATGATCTATGGAGACTTCAATTGTTGCTTTATGCTCTGGATGTTTATTGGTCCTGTCTTAATTCGGATATTACAATTTTAGTTGAAATAATCTCTGTCCTTGTATTGCTAGTTAAATTTTCACCCTTCCAAGTGCCAAATTGAGCAAAAGGGTTCTTAGATTTCATCCTGTGCGGCAAAGTGGGAGAACATATCCCCTAGTTTTGGATTAGTGTTCAAAAGCATTAGTGAAGAATATATGTTGCAATTTGTTCAAGAATGCAACTGTTCTGGTCTACGATAAAACTAGGAAATGCCATGTTCCTTTTGCATTGATGCATTGACATATTGGCAACATAGGTTGAGTTTTTATGTACTAAGAATATTATGTTTTTAGCTGGTTCCTAACCCATAAATAGTAACAGCCATTCAAATCCGTGAGTCAAACTACTACGCATCACAAGCTTACTTTAAGATCTATTAATGATCTCAGATTTTGATGGTTCAGTTTGAATATTCTACATAGAATTTAAAATTTATATCCTCACATTGAATACAACGTCATATGTAGTCGTAAGATTTGATTAATTTATGCCTCAGGTACAGATGTTTTCTTTGTTTTTTACTATGCTGATCACAAACACAGTGAGACTTTACAGTGGAATATAAGGCTTTTAAAGGTCAATCGCCTTTTGTCCTTTTCCATTAACCCTCTATAGTATATATACACTGAGTCAAGATATATCTTCTTTGCTACTTAAACATGCCCTTTTTGATCTTATTAACTGTGAGACCTTCAAAATGACATCTATTTCCTCACTGCTGTTATGGTTGCCCATGGGTTAACCAGCTTAATTTTGTTTTTTAAGTTTGTGTATTTCATTGGTTCCTCCATTTCCTATCTTTGTCTGACATGCTTCTTATTTAAAAAATTATTGAGCTTCTTTGAGCCATAAACCATGGCTTATTAATCTCAAGGGATGGGCTGAATGATGTGACCCTGGGTTTTCAACCAAGAGATCAGATGTGCAAGTTCTTTCAGAAACCCCTCCCTGGGTTGCCTGACTGCTAAATGTTGTATGGTCCAGTAGTAATTTCAGTTTCATAGGCAATGCTTATGTCGAATAGATTTCTGGGTTTATCCAAAAAACAAAGAGGGAGCTTCATTTGTTTTAGATATAAAGGTGTAGTGAGATGGCAATTGGCAGTATCAAGCACGCTACTCTGTGTAACAGAATTTCTTCATCTGCCTGGTAAACCAGTGTAAGATGTTATGATTGAGTATATCTATTGTCCCCGAATTTTATGGTTGTTCTATGTTTGGTATCAGTCTCTTTCAAGTTCTTGCATTGCTAATAATACCCATTGTCTATTATATCCCCTCAAACCTGCACACATTTTGCCATTTTAGAGTACTAATTTGTGTTAGAAAAAAGGAAAACAGCGCTTGTTACAATAGGCAGTTTTCTGCCCACCTAGAGTGTGATGCAATGCTAGTCTAACTGGTGCCAATTTTAAAACTAAGGCTTTATAATTTGTTCAGGACTATTTATGTATTTTACTTATTGTAGTTAGATTGTCAAGTGTTTGGGTTGTGCTTAAATTTTCCTAATGTGGTGTTCCTATTTGAGTAGGACCTGAATTACTGATCTGGAGTAGATTTAGATTTTCTTTTGTTTTGGACTTGACCGTTATATAAAAGAATTATGTTTTTTTTATGGTGGAGATAGATTGACGGTAGAAGCAGTATAATGAAGTTCTCACCCAATTTTCTCCTTTCTCATTCTCTTTCATAAGAAGGCTGTAACTTAAACTTTAAGACTCTGAGCACTGACTAAGTATCTAGTTATCATATAAACCCTTTTAAGTGCTTCACCAAGTTTCCCTCTGCAATTGTCTCAACCAATCTGCTACTTGTGAGTGTTGTAAAATGTTTTTCCTTTATGCAATTTTTGCATGGATTTTAATGAATTGTCCCGACTCTTGTGGTTTTTCTTAAAACTTTTAGGTGTCATGTTTCATTCCATTCATCTCCTTTTGCATAGTGAATTGGGATGATGCCATTCAGGCAATAGTTATTGATGACCTGCTTATCAAATTTGGAGTCAATTGTCTTCAAAGTGATTAACAATAATAAGTTAATAAAACTCAACAATCTTTGTATGAAGCAATTGCAGCTTTTTTGTCAGTGTTGAATGGTCTAGTGAACAGTGGGGTCACCCTTCTTTTGGTTGAATTAGCGACGACTTTGGTTCTAGTCAGTTTAAACAGATAAACTCAGTCCACCTGCAGCCATGTTGATCAAAATGATTAAGTTTCATCACTTGACCAGTCACTCGCCCAGTATCAGAAAATCATCTCACCCAGTGGTGGGTATTCCATAATCCCCTTAGTCATAGATACTCGTTCTATTTTTATTTGAATGGGCTTGGTCTCCCCGAGGTTCACATGGCTAAGCCTTCGGGTGTCTCCATAAAATGAATTCCTATCACATCCCAATCACTTAAGCTAATCCTTACCAAGGAGAAAAACAAAATAAATAATTCTTTCCGCTTGACTCTGATTAGCCTTTATGGTCCTGTGTAAGTCGCCCTTTGTTTTTCTTCTAATTTTAGTACGTAATGTCTGTGCAATGGTGTGAAAGAAGTTTTCATACGGGTGTATATATATCTTACTTGCTTGGAACTTTTGTACAGGTTGCTGAAACACTAGGCTTCAGCTTGTGCATTAAGTCATGCTTGGAATATCTAGAAGCGGTTCCGTGGGTTGGAGAAGAGGAAGAAGAAAAGGTTGTCTCGTCAATCCTACGACTCCAAGGTGAGGGTGTTGGTGTCACCCCAGTATTGAAACGAGTCTCTTCAGGAGTCTCCAATCCACCTAAAGACACACTATCCCACATAGTGGATCTAGTTCTTAAAAGCAATGAGGAGAAAGGTCGACGGGAAATGAAATCCATAGTACTGAAACTCCTTAGGGAGAACAACAGTGTTCCAAGCTATGCTGGTTCAGCAGACATTTGCACTGAAACTCTCTATACATCATGCAGAAGTTGCTTGAATTCACTCGTGTCTAAGTTTAGGCAAGCTACGGAACCAGAGTTTGCTGATAAAACCATGGACAAGAAGGAACCTGTGGTGAAGCAGATAGCTTTAGAGGCTGATAACCTCTCATGGTTGCTTGAGATTTTGGTTGATAGGCAAGCAGCAGACGAGTTTGCTCTAATGTGGGCTAGCCAGCAGGAATTGGCAGCCCTACATACAAAGATGCCTATTGTGTCTCGTTACCAAGTTAGCTGCATTACAGCAAGGCTATTTGTAGGAATTGGAAGAGGGGAGCTGCTACCATTAAAGGATACTCGTCAGATGTTGTTACAGACCTGGCTACAGCCGTTGATCAACGACTACAGCTGGTTGCAACATGGGTGTAGGTCATTTGATCGGAAGGTTGTGGAGGAAGGAATTGGCAGGACTATTCTTACCCTGCCTTTAGAGGACCAACAAAATATTCTGCTTTCTTGGTTGGGAAGTTTCTTGCAGGCGGGTGACAATTGCCCAAATCTTCAGAGAGCCTTTGAGGTCTGGTGGCGAAGGACTTTCATCAGACCTTATGGTGATGCGCAAGGTAATAATGTAGTCCAATCAGATACCTCAATGACATCAAAGGAGTTGAACTAAAGAATAACCAGTTTGGATCACTGAGAGTTGGTAATCATATGTAAATTAAATAGAAAATTTGACGATTTCAAATATGATATAGCTGAAAAGAAAATACTTGGGAGTATTTCTTTTTTATCAGAGCTAACATGGCAAATCCCACTGGAGTTGGGATAGTGTGTAACTCCAACACACTACCTAACTGCAAATGTTTCTGATGGACATGCAGTATAGGGTGTATGAAACAGTTTTTGGATTTATGAATTTGGATTTGATTGCATGATGTGGAATGCTTAAAAGGTAATGTAATTTGAGTGGTTGCTTCATGTGGGTTTATTTGCCTGGGAGAATTATCTTTCCTAACACATTAAACTTTTTTTAATGATTTTCTTTAAGAGTGCAGTTTAGTTACTCATAACACTGGCTTACCTTCGTGGTTGCTTTCATTCATTCCACTTTTCAGTTAATTTTCCTATGAACTGCTAAAAAAACTCATTGAACTCTAGCCCAATTTATTGATTGAAGAACAATTTAATATCATAAAGATAAGTTTGTTCATGTTCATTTTAGGTTTCTACATTGATAATATTACTGCAGAAGTGTTGTTTTTATACTTTTTGTGCTATTGTTTTGGATAATCTGGTGAGAATAGACGCTTCAGTCAGCATTGCTACTTCTGCAAGCAGTTAATTCAGGTTGATGTATATGTTGTGTTGTGTGAAAGATACAGATAAGGAACTTGGTACTTCTTTAATGTGGGGTTAATTTTGTTCGACCCTGTGAGATACCTGAGTATGAAGCGGTACATCAATTGTCGGAATGTCTTAAATAAGCTCCTGCTGTTAAGACGTAAGACACTGTTCATTTCAGTCAACAAAAGTCAAACCATGTGGGCAGAACGGTAATTGATTCAAATGAAATACCATCGAAGGACAAAAACGTAATAAAAAAAATCTGCACTTTTTCCCCCTCTTCCTCTGCCTCCTCTTTTTCTACTTCTCTTCTCCCGTAATTTCTCTCTTCTTCTTTTCTCTCATTTGTTCTTCTGTTTTTCCATTTTCTTTATTCTCTCGTCACCCATGGCTACAGCCTACAAGTGCCGCCATAAGGGCATCGCTGCCGGCCAGATTAAGCCGGCACCTGAGGCCCTTGCTTTGGCCAAAGGCGCAGCGCAAGAGCCACATGCCGGCTTTTGTGTGGGTAAACTGAGATGAGATTTGGATGGTATCTGGTGAACTGGGACAGATTAGTGAACTGGGATAGGATTTGGTGATGCAGAAACCCAGATCGCAGAGCCTTTTTGCAAGTTTTCAAACTTGTAGGGGTTTTACTTTTTAGGGGTCTATTTGAAGGTTTGGAAACCTTTAGGCGTGTTTTTGTAATCTCATGTAAAAGTAAATTTGCCTTTCTCTCTGTCCTGAACAAGGTTATTAGTATCATAAGAGATGCGGTATACTGGTTGCCAACGATATGTATTAGAGAGTGTATTCTAAATTTTTCGTTATATTAATGTGTATTTTACAATACGATATATATTGATTCATATCCTTAAAAATATTGAATTTAATCGATATGACTTCATTAATTTGGGCTAAAAGCCCAAAAAAAAATTTGGGTTTAATTTGGGTCATCAACCAGTTCACTAAAACCACCTAAATTTATCCATTTTGTATAAAGAAAGTAAGGAGGAAGATGTGTTATCCAGTTTGTATGATAATAATAACACAAGTAAAGATAAAGATATTAATATTTATTTTTAAAATGTTATGAATGGTTGAGAGGAAATGATATAGATTCTTAATTTTGTGATTAATTTTGATTATGTAATACCATAATTTAAAGTCGATAATATCACAAAATTTATTAATTAATTTTGAGAATGATGTTAATTTTTAGAAAAAATTTATTATTTTATTTATTTTTATTTTTATTTTTTGAAAAAGGTATATCATACTATACGATATAGATTCAAAAAATTCGGTTTTCAATACACAATACATTATGAGATTTGACAACCATGATCCTGAACATTGAAAGGGTAATAAAGTCAATTAATACCTTTAATATGACTTGAGCCAACGGCGTCTTAACGATAAGGGCTTATTTTAAGACTTTCTGAAGAATTAGGTAACCCACAGGGGGGCGATAGAATTAACCCTTTCGCTATGTCTTGTCTTGTGGTTAAACGTAAATTGGATACCTTGGGTGCATGAAGCAATAAACATTTAATGAAATCGGAAAGCGAGATGTGTCAAAACTCAAAATTACAATTACAAATCCCACAGAGGTTCCCAGAGGGCACATCATATCTGTTTTTGTGGTCACTCTTTATTCCATATCATAAACTCCTGACACCACATTAATTCAAGCTCACTAATTGATTCTGAAAACAGTACCTCGCCTGAAAATTTGGTTGTTTCTATGTTCTCCCTCTTCTTAAATTCACATCAAAATCTCCAATTTTAACATAGCTTTACCACATTCCGCCATTAAATTCATATTCAAGTTTCCAAACTAACATACATATATATATTTACCCTGCAACTAAATTCACTGATAGTTTCACAAACAGTAGCAAAGAATTATGCTGGATATTTTCTGTTTCTGGTGAGTTTGCCGTAGTGACAAAATATATATACTATGATAGACTTACAGTGAAGTGGACAAGGGAAGAGACAAAGATTTAGTAATGTAATAATTGCTCTTTAAAAATTAAGCTTGACTCATTAAGGTTCAGTTTCTGACGATGCAGCCTACTACAGTCTTGGTTCAGGTCCCCAATCTTATACTAACCAAGATGATTGATCAGAGTCTTCAATGCTGCTGGTCCACCATTTTCATCAAGATTGAATGTGCTCTTGAGAACTCTTCAGAATCAACATTTCTGTCGGCCTATGTCTCGGGGGTGGGGGCCTCTCAAACCATCTTCTCATTCAATTTCTGCTCACCCCAACTCAACTTGCCCCTTATTTCATGCAAAAAATAACACCGTTTGGTTTGAATGACCAATAGTTGAGGTTTCAAACTACTGGCCTTTCTTTTTCTTTTGTTTAAAAATACAAACAGATTCCCTCATTTATTGATAATGAAAATTCTAGAATTCCTTTTCAATTTAGTTGTTCTTGCTAATGTGAATAATATTTCTGTTTCAACCGGCCCACCCTATTAAACCTTGTACACCCACATGGGCTGGAGTCATACAGAGCCTATCCACTTATGATCGTATCCTTAGCCAGCAACCAATCTGTCTTTTTCGTTTTCATATATATATATATAAGAAAATCACCTTAACCTCCCCAGTGTTTCGTATAAAACGTGCTAACCTTCCATTGATTTGAGAAATTAACAACGATCTCCCCACCACGCCGGCACCAACACCAACCCATTAATAAAACCATTAAGTTTTTACTGAAATTATGTACAAAACACCCTCTCATTTATTTAAGAAATAAAACATATACATTTATTGGCAATTCGACTTGGTTAGACCACATGGTCAAACTAGATATTGTCAACGATGGTTGGTCGACCACCTACATAATATTAATTTTTTTATTGTTTTATTACTTTTAAATGGGAATTTGAATTAGGATTTTAATGAATAAAAGAGAAAAATAAAATAAAATTTTCAATATGATACTACTATTAACTTTTGGGAAAGTTTTTATTAGTTTCTCAAATCAGTGAGAAGTCCATGATAGTCGCCCAAACATCAGGGACGTTAAAGAAAAAAAGCAATAATTCTTCTCTGTTAATTATGACAGAAAATAGAAGTAGTAAACTAATAAAGGAGATGGGTCCCATCCAAAGCTAAAAAATCTGATCAAGTCTCATCCCAATTTCCCAATAGGACCCACGTACAGATATCTGGTTGGTCGAGTGTCCTTGGATTATATCCAACGGGTAGCTTTCGATATATCAATTTCAAGTGGGGTCCAGCCTCGTTATTGTACACTGTCTCTTTGTATGGGTCCTCGCCTTTTAATTGCAAACCCTAACTCATATAAGATATTCGCCTGTTTCTTTCACATTGAATTTGCAAAATTATTTATGCAACCAAACAAGACAAAAAAACCATTCTGCATTAACCTGCTTATATATATTATTTGATTTTGTGTAGTGATTGTTACTTAGTAGGGTTTGAAAGGGTGTTCGTGTTCAGGCCACCAGGTCTTGTGGCTCAGAACAGATTCAGAAGAAGAAAAGGACCACCACCTTGTCAGAAAGTAACATTTATCAATATTTGTAAGGCTGATAACAAAAGCTCATTTAAGTTTCATGGTAATATACATATGGGTTTAGTTAGCCAAACCCCTTCATTTATATTTTAACTTTACAGTGAGAATGCTCTTACGTCTCCACAACCAGAATTAGCATGTAGATTTCAGCTTTCTTATAGGTTCTAAGTTGATGTCTTCGCTGAAACCCTACAGGATATATAAAATGCCTAGATGCATTGAGACCTTGATTGATTAATAATTAAGTGCATGCTGCTATTTTTTTTTTTTTTTTTAAATTTCATCTAACCGTCCCATCAATAATGATGGAATGGAATACAACCTTTGAAAATGACGCGACTGCTTGATACTTACATGTATGAAAAGGAAATACCGAGCTTTCCAAAGGTTTCTAATTATCTAATATTGTTGCAATTATGCTTATATAATTGCTATAATTAGACTGCAATATGTCAAATTATATATCTATATGTATATAATACTTGAACGATTTGATCGGTGCAGCAGAACAACTTGGTAAAATCCTTTTGTGGGTCATGTTGGTTTTGGTTAGTTAAAGTGTTTCTAAAATCCAAAGCAACATATTAGGTAAAGAGTACTTGTTGCTTTGCAAGTTAATAGTTTGGATTTTAAGAAACCGTCGTTGCTTTGGTTACCAGATAACACAACAAATCTATTAACAAAAACAGATATGATAGAAGAAGATTATATCGGGATTCATTACTCTACTAACTAGTTAGTACCATCCACTACCAAGAGAGCAGCCTTCAAGCTTTTTTCTACTCTTTTTGCTTCCCTATTTACAATTAACAAACCAAACAAAGCTTCATTACGCAATAACATCATGAACAAGTTTATAAGTGCATCTTCTACGAATCTCCATACCATTCCTGCTTTCATGATATATAGTTATATAACATATTAAAAATCTAGGTTAAAACTTCAGTCAGAGGGCTAGTTTAAAATTCGCTACTTCAGAGGTTTATACACTCATACAGTCATGATTCTTTGTATTGTGAATCTTAGTTACTGGAAGGAAAAT